TGTACACCTGAGCCCTCCCGGCTCAATATGACCTTTATGGCCCCATATGCTCACCTTTGCCCCTTTATTGCCTCCTCGGCGTAGTGACTGAAGTCTGCGAACTAGTTACAGTAATGACGCAGACTTTGGTTGGCACATGCGATTCGAAGCCTCTTACAGGTTCCCTATCTTAAGGGCTCGTCTTGGTGCGGAACTTGCATGTGCAGTTGTTTCACTTTGACGTTGACTCATCATTCGCCTCGCCTGGATTGTCCGAGTGTGAGAGCCGAAACCCTAAACCGTTACATGATACCTTACAGAATCATAGGAACCCTCAGGAACCAGTATGTCTTACACCCTGAAGCTCGTGAGACGGAGAAATGGTGAGTTTGCAGGCTGGGGCATCTTCCTTGCCTCGCTCCTCTTCGGTTTGGGCAACGGTCTGCACCTGGCTTCAAATTGGTAGTTGTCAAAATGATGGTCCCTTTTGGGGTACCCTAAATAATCGGTGCCGTATTATAATAAGGACCCAAAAAGGGACCATAATTTTGACAACCACCCAAATAGCTGAAAACTGTATGGCTAGGCGAGTGTAGCGGATGGTGTGGGGGTGTGCCCCTTTCGTCTGGCAAGATGGCTCGGCATCTTTGCACGCCAGGACCGGTGGGATTGCCAGCACACTCTCGGCGGATTTGGCACCCAGCTGGGCACGGGCACAGCCTCCGCCTCAAGCCTCAGGCCGCTGTGCCCCGCTCTACATAGGGATACCCATCCCTGATCGAGGTTCATGGGCCTGTGGAAAATGGTGACGTCCAATGGAAGCCCCAAGGTTGATTTCAGCCTTGTGCAAGAACACGATGCATCTTTTGTGCATCCGAGGTCTCCTTTTCCCAATGCTCTTCGGGCTTCTAGCGAGTCAGCTGCAATCCTTGGATAAGGCTACGTACCTGCTCCAGCTGCCACTCGGCGAATGCAGCTGCGTACTCCTTCAGGGTTGCCGCGGAAAGATTTCCGCCGCATTCCAGGTTCTGCGAAATTAACCCGCACATGCGCTGGACGAATCTCTAGCTCATGCTTGAGCTGCCGGGCCAGGGCAGTGGAGCATGTTGCATCAGTAAGACAGCACAAATTCAGTATGAATGCAGTCCCGACATCTACATGTATTGCGCCAGGCCCTAATTGCTGAGGAGCATAGCAAAGAGGCTGCAATTAGGATTTCAGAACAGCAGATGGGGAATGGCCTTCCAAGATTGAGGCATGGCTGCCACCGGATGTAGCAAGGAGATGCTGCGCTTGTCAACCTGTCGAACTGCAGCAATGATACGGGTGTGACCCTCAAGAACAAGCCAGCACCATGACAACTCCTCGTGCCCAAAACGTGCACATTGCAGCGATTATCGGGTCAGTTGTCCTGCTGGTTGTTGCGCCATCGTTGACCAGAACGCTCGGTCTGGCATCGGTAGTTAAGATAGAAATACCCCTTGAACAGGATAGCCTGTCCCTTGTGCAGCAGCCAGAGGTTGGGTGTTGCCGCTGCGTTGTGGCTGTGGTTTCTGGTGCCGGAGACCTGCAGCAACATTGGAGACGGAGCTGTCCAGAAAGACGGCAAGGACGGACGAGTCAAAAGGTTGGGTCAAGATGGTCTTGGCATTCGGTCCAACCTGTCACTTGTGAGATTTGCACAGATATGACACAGGAGAGCCTGCTGAACGAGCTGGACAGGCAAAAGCTCGATCTGAATGCTCCGGCTCGTGCAGATCTTGGGACCACTGATGTTGAGCCTGTCTCGCCTGTCTCACCCACTGCTGGCGAAGCCGTCTGCACATAAGCTCGTTCACTAGCTGGCAAAAAAATGTGTACCGTCGGTGGCAGTCCGGTCCGCGCAATCGAGCCACGTGTTCTGGCAAGCTCCAGATCGAATACTCCAGAGAATTTGCACAAGAATCTCCCGGTGATCGGAGAGTCTGCCCGCTGACCCGACTGGCTGTTGAATTACCTACGAAAGTCGGCCAGGAGCTCTGTGAAATACAAGCAAGAGCTAGAGAAGATCTGCATAGTGCTGTGTCAAGCCACGGCCTGAGTGACACCTCGGCGTCGCCTCTGGCGAAGATCTAGTAGCTGTAGCTGCAATAGCTCGCGGTGGCCCAGGCAGAGACCCAGGGAAGTTACAGACCGCTCTGGAGGCAGCACAAGGCGTGCTACTGGATGTGGAGGCTGGAGCAGCTCCTGAGGGAATCGTGGACCATTTCTCGTTTTGGTGATTAGGTACAGTGGGGCCAATGCGAGCTCACCAAAATCTCCCCCGAAGCAGTGGCTGGGCTAGCAAACTAGGTGCATAGCCTCTTGGCAAAATAGCTGATTGGTGCTTGAATGCGCATCGGCTGCAGGATCCAGCAGCTGGAACCGCGCATGTGCTGCTCGGAATTCACTTGTAGCATCATGATTGGTTACATCAAAGGAAAAGGCTAGGCGACATCAGCTGTGGCAGGTCGGCAGGTCAATCGGTCATGCTCTTCGGTAATGATCAGCTTTTTATCTCAGCCTTTTCGTAGATAGAAAGTTCTACGGCTTTCATGTCCGTGCGGATTTCGCGGCTTTCGCTGAGGAAGCCGAACAAGGAGACCAGGTTTGCGGACGTGTCAGACGCCACAGCGGGCCATCCTTTGAGCGTTCCAGGAGGCAACCAGGGCGATTCATGCGAGGTATTCCTCTGGCGACTTGAGAAACATGAGAAGATGCCTGCTGCACGAACCATACACCAGCCTGGGGTCCAGGCAAAAGAGATTGGGACGATGAAGACACGGAGGTGTTCCTCGTCGTGCCAATCTGTCCGTGGTCAGGGGCGGCTTCCTTTTCCGAGTGTCAACATAGGAACAAGTGACTGAGGCTGCAAGATGTAGTACCAGCGGCCCGCACGGTGCCTCCGAGCAAGACGGGAATCAACGGCTGGGTCAGCGAAGGGGAAGGCGCAGTACCCGAAGATCAGACAGGAGTCCGGAAGACCCTTCTTCAGCATCTCGCCTGCCACCACGAGGATAGTACCATGCTCCCGTAGTCGCCACACACAGCCGACATGGGTATGAGGCGTGCTGCAAGCTATTTCAACTGCTTCTCGAGTGATGATGACGAGGCATCGATTTTCGATGTGCCTCAGACATGGCAGCCACGAGACAAGGTCCTGTCCATTCCGATGCAGGACAAACGCAGGAAGATGAGGAGGGGCACGCTGTACCACGCGCAGGTAGAAGAGCAGGACTGCAGAACTTGCACAGCGCCTGTGCATTTGGCGATGCACTATGACCGCTATGACACGCAATGCATTCTGCAATGCATGTATGTGGAACTGCTCCCTGTTTCGACAGAGAGCCTGGATTGCAGGAAGTAAAGCTGGACGAAGAGGTGGGCATGGGCATGACCTATTCATGCCACGTGAACATCCTCTATTTTGGCACAGTCGTAAAGGCCAACATTCTAGCAGCGTTGCAGTTTAACCGTTAAGCCCTGAGAGGGTATGCTCTGAGAACTTGGGCTAGGACATTAGCAACATCAAAACCCACCCACACACCCACCCACACACACACACACACACACGTGGTGCATTCCTGCGGTGCACACCCCAATGTTGAGACATTCTCGCACAGTTTATCGAGGTCTTGCTTGACAACTGCAAGTGATTGACAAAGGAATTCGCCCTATTTATGGAGCTGTAGTAGCACCCCGCCCCCCACCCAAAGGAGGATGAATAGTGCAGGTTGAAGGTTTCGGCTCATGTGTTTCCTTACATATCTATGTACTCTCTGGCACTTGCTTATCCTCGAGTATCGAATCTCACCAAGCGTTACATCAAAAACGGATGCTGCATGTTGCATTGCTCACGACAGACATTCTGCAAGGAAGGCGTTCAATTTCACGTGTAGCACGCCCTCTACTGAGGGTTCCCACAACCATACGCGTTTGACGTGCGCAGGTGTACGATGTGGCCAACTTCTACAAGAAGACCGGCGTGTGGCAAGCCATGGCCCGAAACGACAAATTCGAGCGCTTGACGCTCATGGTGATTTGTGTTCTGGCCTGGCTCAGTCTTGTGAAATTCCAGGAATGCCAATGAAGATCAAAATGATGGGGGTTCTTTTTTTGTCAAGCGTGGCCTACTTAGGTATCAATGCCATTTACATTGGAGTGGATGCAGACAACAACACGGCCTCAACGACCATAAGCGCAGAATGGCCGTACCAGGTTTGCGACCATGCCTTCTGCTTGTTCTTCACGCACCGTGGTTGCCATTCTTTCAGTGCAAAACTATGTAATCTTCGGTGTGGGAAGACTGAGCTGTGAGGGGAATGTCTCATGCAAAAGCACAGCTGTGCGTTCCGAAAGACGTCATTCAGCGCATCTGAGGTTCGAACTGGCTGTCCGCTTTGCTGCCTTCGAACGCAAGCGCAACTGCCTGCGCGACATGTGGTTCATTTTCGATAGCGCGCTCGCGACTCGAATGGATTCGACAAGAAACTGTCAGGTAGTGATGCGCAATAGCCGCAAAGCAAGAAATTTGCTTCCAAAGTAGCAGGACAGGAGCAGCTAGAGCGAGAATAGAGTCAGTCATGTAGAAGCCGGTTGCTCTAGTTGCCTCATGTGACGCGTGGACTGGGGCCGTCTCTGAATCCAAGAGGACATCAGATAGCAAAGCGACATCCTCTCTTTCTAGGCTCGTCGTGTTAGAGGGGTCTGAATGTTTGTGGATGTAGTTAGAGTCACCAGCTTCAGATTTACTGTTCCCGGCTAGGTAACTAGATGGGCCACAGTCAAGACGGTCAAAATTGCATTCAGCATGCATCAGCATCGTCAGAGCCCAGATTCGGTTCTGTCTGAACTGACCGTAACTAACCTGGTGCCCGAAGTCGAACAGCCTGACCTCGCTGTGAGCCGCGATAATGTCTTGAGGTAATCCTCATGGTCTTTGAAACTTGGATTCTCAGCATCGTGCTCTTGCTAGCCGCTTGTCTGAACCAAGCCGCGGGTTCATTGCTTGGGTGCTCGGTGCTTGTAGCTCCAGCGAAGCACGAGTCTCGATTGGCTCCGACCCTGTCGCAGTGTGCCCTCCGGGCATGGGAGCCAGAGCGTTGCGTGGTTACCTGGACTGTCGCGCCACTCGAGCTGATGTTCGGACAAGCCAAGAATCCTCTCAAAGAACGGGTCCTTTGTTGATCAGCCTTGCACATACGAAGGAGGCCCCGCGCACGTTCGATTGCCATGTGGACGCTGCAGAGTTTCTCAATTGACGACCACATCGGTGGCGTGCCGTCAGACAACATGAGCCTGTGGCAGTCCTCCAAGAAGCAAACTCTGCCACTGTGTTCCACACGTGGTGGACACCTGGACATCAAGAGTCTATATCTCTCTCCACTTGTACTGGCGCTATGTCGTAGTTGTTGCTGATGCGGCGAGCACGGTGATCATTATCATGACTAGGCTCGGGACCTTGCCCAAACAGTACACACTGTTCCCGCAGAATCATTCGCTGTGGGCCGTGCGGCACTGCTCGCGTTCGGTGTCTCTTTTTCCTTGCTTGGGGCTCGCCTCCTGCCTTATCCGAGCTTTGACAGACAATTTATTCTTGCCGCGGCGAGCGAGTGGCATGCCGTCACACAATATGTTCGCGGGCCTTTGCGCAATGAGATGCTGCAAGTCAGTGCAAGTTTGTCGCCGAAAGCCGGGCTCGGTGCTGTCGTCCTTGCTTGGCGTGGCTCGAACACGATGCCAAGGCTAGATGCCTTGGTGCTGTGGCGCTCATCGACTCAGGGCTCGTCTTCATCATCATCATCATCATCATCATCATCATCACATATATATATATATATATGTGTGTATATCATATATATCTATCATATATATATATATGATGTATTCTTGCGATTTTGAGTGATCAGGGGGGAATGCCATGCCGAGTCGTTTTTGGATCGGGGCATTGAAGACCAAGGCCATGGTCTTCCTTCAGGAAGCCAGGTTCAATGACTGCGGAGGTGGTTCTAATCTATCCATGACTCGCCGTAGGAATAGTAGATGATAGATACATCTCCAGACAGCCCCCAAGAACTTCCTCGATTGCTACAGTATCTTGTGTTAAATACTTAAACAAGTTGCCTTAGCAGCCTTAGCATGCTTCACCGGACGAGTCGTGCAACCAATAACAGCTTTCGCAGCTCGGACCGGTAGCGGGATGATTTCGCATGCTTGATGTGGCGGCTGAGCTTGTGCATGTCTGGTATTCGCCAGTTGGAATACTGAGTTACTTATGCTCCATGTCAGTGATCCTCCCACTGAGTGGAGAGTACGAGGCTTTGCCTCTCTCTGTGGACGGCTGGTGCATTGCATTCCTACGGTTTCCGTCGAAAGCACTGGAGTACCATTCGAGGAGGTAGGCCGGTAGGCTTGCAGACAAGGGCCTGCCGCCTTAAGGTCCAATCTGCAGACGGGGGTGGTGTTGCAACGGGGCCACTCCGCCTTCTGCGGCTTCTGAGGCGGGATGTCTTTGTTCTGAGACTTATCTTCTTGGAGAGAGCCTGCCGCAATGTCCATTTGCGAGGCTTTCGCGTTTGGTGCGCCTTCTTCGTTCCCTGCCGGAGACCGGTTTCATCTGAACCACCAACAGCCAGAAGTTCTCTGGCAGTAACTGTCCAGCTCGACATGTCAATGACACTGGGTACAGAGAGGGTGAGTACGTACGATTCGGGCTCCCCATTTGGAGCCTGTTTCGTCAAGACTTTGATGTTTGAGTATCTGCTTGCTGGTGATCTTTTCCTCGTTCTCCTGCTGCAAAGAGCTGCCATGTCCCGAAGCTGATAGGTGTGCCACGTAAGGCCGGCTTGGGGATGTTGAATCAACGAGCTGGCAAGCCATACTCGAACAGTATCGAACAGTTGCAGACATGGTGTCGGAAGCTAGACGGCGCTTTCGAAGCCGCACATCTGCACAACTGCCCGTACTAGAAGTACTTCAGCCAATCATCTCACAGCACGCCAAGTCTGCTCGTCGCGCACATTAGCAACACGAACATGATTCTCGGGCCTTTCTAATCTGCGGTTGGCAATCAAGTGCAGCAACGTGGTCCCGGGCATCGTGTTGTGCTAACGTAGTGTTTTCTGCAACTTTCACGAGTCTGCAAGAAGTTTTGGTCGTGCGCCACCCGTTTGAGGGAGTGCTCTGCTGTGAGACTACCCAGCGTCTGGCAAAACTCGAGTTTAAACGTGCGCCGTGCACAAGCGTGGCAGGAGTTGCTGACACTGGTAAACGGAATGCGAGCTGCTGCGAGGGCTGTCATCTCGGCTCTTATGCTTTCTTGGCTGCAAGAAGACGTTGCAACTGAAACGATGCTGCGGAGAACGCTCTTTGCGTGAGGGGCCTTGTCTGCCAGTTGTTGCGGCAGAGTGCCACGGTCGTGACCAGGCTCATCATTGGTCTCAACTACGTCTTCGCGATTATCATCAACATGTTTCTGAGAGATATCAAATACCCGACACTTGTCTTGCAGGCAGTGGAAGCAAAGCCCAGAACCCTGCGGCGTTCGAGCAGGGGCATTCTACAGTCGATCAAAAACGTTCATCCAAAGCTTGCCTGCGCAGCTGCCATCTTACAGTCCTACACTCCACGGCAGAAAGAAGTCAAGTGCAGAAGCAGGATTGCAGCCGGTTCAACAAGTTCGGTTTGCAAAGCGCCGACAATCTGCAAGCCTTCGATGACGAGCTTAACATGTCATGTCATTTGTCATGCACTCCTCACACCAGGGATGCCCAGCTAAGGATGTGTAGCGATGGAAACGTATCTTCGGGATCGTGTTCCGAAGAAGGGAATATGATGGAACGCAAGTTCAACACACTTGGTGTGAGCATGTGGAGTTTGGCACTCCATGGCACCTTTATGGATGCCATCTCGGACCTTCTCGAGGACATGCGCGACTTGGAGAACTTGGAAACAGGCCACTTGTGCCAAAAGTGAAGACAACCTGTGATTCAAAGATTGAGCTGTTCACCTGAAATTGCCCGCAGGTGGCGGTTGGGTGCTGGCCTGGTCTATGATCTTCGTTTTCTTCCTGTACGTCCTCCTCACAAACATTACCGTCATGAACATGCTCATTGGGATCGTGTGTGAAGTCGTTTCAGAAGTAAAGCTGAGCGATGAGAAGAACACGGCCGTGGTTTATTTGAAGAGGAATCTCAGGAACTTGTTGATTGAGTTGGATGAAGACAACAACAATCAGCATCTCGGCACGACCATCATTTTCGATAGCTCCGATGGCAGTTCTGTGAGACTTGCGGCTGCCGTTCTACCCCTGCGACTTCTCTCTGCAGGATATCAAAGAGAGAACTACATGCAGTACCTTGGATGCACACTTCAGAGCGGACGGAGCATGATATGAGCAGGGCATGTGGAGCACTCTAACTCGTGCAAGCACGAGACAACAAGGCCGTTGAAGGTCACGTGCATTCGACGTGTTCTCTTCCCCTACTGTAGTTGTTCTTCAGACGGTCGGGCAACAGTAGTTCGTAAGAAACTTGGGCAGTCCTGGCCGAATACGTGGTAGGTTTGCCAGTGGCAGCATGAACTGCGCAGGCATCGTAGGCCTTCAAAACGAGGAGGGCCGGTAAGCAGGTCGATCTGGTGTCAGACCCAGGTACACGGAGTGAAGGCACTTGCATGCTTGTTTTGCACCTTTCGAGCCGAGTTTTGTCTCGGATGACGAAAGGCCTCGAGACTGCCTCGTGCGCGCGAAGTCTTGAAAGAGCTGGACGTGCCACTCATCTTATATAATACTAATAGAACTGACGAAAGCTCGCGTAGCACAGCTTCAGTTTAGTCTCGCTTTTAGCAGGGTTGCAGTCCAGGGCAAGAAACCAGCGTATTTGTGTAGTATCAATTATATAAGGGGGTGGGGGGGGTGCGTGTGAAACCGCAAAATCCTAGACGCCTTCAGTGCTGGCTAGAGCGTTTTGGTCTAGGGACCATGATTTCCGTTGCAACCGCCACGGCTGCTGAGATCGGATCACCGAGAGTCTTGGAGACCCTCTCAGCGACCAGGTTTTGTAAATATTTCGACTTCGCTATGCGGTTCCGGGCCTAGTATCGGACCACCGGAAACTACCTGCATCCTCCGGCATGATTGAGGGATTCAGGGGCAGTTTCTGGTGGTGGAGCCGGGGCTCGCCCCGATCCCTTCAGGGAGACACCGCCTCAGCCCTTGGTCAAGGCCAGTCGCTTCCCAAAGCGTGTGCCGGGCAAAGCACCATGTCGTCTCACCACGCAGAACCCAGCAACTCCGGCGATTCCTGGGTCTCTTCAATGCCTGGACTGGCAAGCAGGACTTTGTCACCTGGACAACGCAAGTTCGAGGTCGCTCTGCAGAAAGCATGCAATTCATGCACGGACTTTCTTCCGGAGGTAACCCTGGAAGATAGCAACCGTGAGTTTGAAGCGGCTCTTCGCGAAGACTCGATTTCTACCAGGCTACAGGACTGGGAATCAAGAGAAGCACGTGCTGCCCAAGCTTTCCCCAAAGGGAAGAACTACAACGAGATTTTTCCCGCTGAGCGGCAATCTCCCACTGCATCCAGCAGCAGAACGTCTCGATAGATCAGGTCACTTGTGTGTTTTCTTTTGATCTCGCAGTATATCCGAGTTTCCGAGGAACGTCGACAATCTGATTGTTTTGACCGAGCCATTGTTTGAGCAAGATGCTGACGCTGGCCGGGAGCAGGAAGTCACACGAGAAGAGCTCTTGATCCTCGGCCGCTACCCGATGCTCTTGGGGTCTCAGCGTGTAGGATCCCTCTTCTGCGCCTGATTTGTGCAACTAGTGCAGAAGCTGAGGAACGTAATTCTCGACATGCGTGGTGATCGCGATGTCCGAATGGAGGACATCGTGGAACTGCGCTGTGATATCCGCCGCTTCGTCCACAGGCAAGGAGCGATAAGAAATCCAGACCCGACGACGACGACGACTACCACAGCCGAGAGCGAAGGATATAAACCGGTTTCTATGAACGTGTTCCACAATTTTTGTCATTTCACAATGCACAAATGAGCCGAAACCCAAACCATCTACTCCGACTAGTTCTGCGACTGCCCCTTCTCTTTCGCCGGCTCCTGCTCCTCCTGCTCCTGCTTAGATTCTGCTAAGGCTCCTCTCTTCCTGGTCCTGCTCCTGCTGCTGCTCCTGCTCAAGCCCTGCTCCTGACATTTAATGTCGCACAAACCGGTATTCCAAGCCTTTCGCCGACAAGGGGGGCGGTCGTGACAGTAGGCATTCTCACATGGCATCCGTCAGTTGAATGATTCAAATGGTGGCTTCAATCCATGCATCCTGATTTCTTACCAAGCTCGGAATCAGATTTGGACGATGCGGACAGCATTCCACAAAGCTGCCCTGTAGATGTGGTCACCCACATTCATAGGTTATGATTTCAAGCAGTCGCACTGAAACTTTGTTCTTTTTGGAACCTCTCGTCCGCATTCAGGCCTGCAGACCCCCTGTACTCTGCCAAGCGCATTTGTTCTAACCAAGTTGACAACATCCCGGCATGCGCGACGCGCTGCTCCGCTCTCCATGCTCCGGTTTCGGCCACAGGCAAACCAACGAGCTTGTCAAGAAGACGGATGAGATTGCGGGGCATATCGAGTCCATTGAGAGGCTGGCAGCTCGAAGGGCATGGAACACACAATCGGCTTGAGCGGTCTCTTGGTACTGCACCCCTTGCTATTGCCAGGAAACTTGCGATTATCAGTGAGCGCATCAAGTGAAGGAGTCAAGAGGCTCTGCCTCAGTGTCAAGCGTCGCTTTCACTGCACGCCCCAGCCGGCGAGCTTTCCACTGGATTTGGCAGTTCGCAGCTTCGATGTGCAGTTACATGGCAAAACAATGCCTTGTCGCCGAATCAATCTACGATAACCCTCAGGACGGTTCTCCAAAAGGACAACCGGAGGGGCCGGATGGAGCAAACAAACTTAAGAATTTGGTGAAGTTGGTCAGCTGTCCTGTTTGATGTAAGCCCTTGGTTCGTTGCACTTCCGTCCGGTACGCGCCAGTTCAGTGAAAGTCACACTGCTGGTGCTTTAAGGAACCAGAAGCAGAGCTCGCAATTTTTTGCCGAGAGAAGTTAGATCTCTCGGTGGGTGAGGTTTGCTCGGAAGTGGACTTCGCTTGCACTGCTCCCTTTGGCTGGCTATCTGATGCGGCTGACAGCCCGGAGATTTGCAAAGGCTGTTGGTCTTAGTGCAAGAGACCTGCTCGTAGTAATCTGGCGTAGTTGTGCTAGTTTTGTTGTGTGCTTCTCGCAACAGCTGGGCTTGGAATGAAGCTTATCAAACTGTCAATTGTGTGAGCTCATCACAGAGTGAGAGTCTCGTGCTCGCACTGCTTTAGGTTTATTTGCGTGAGACGGAAAAATTCTGCATTTGCAGCTTGATTTGGGGCGACAGACGGCGTGCCGGCTTGACATACCCATGACTCCAATGACCGACCCCCATCCAATTCTCGTTCGTGTCCTCAAGCTCGGTAATTATCCGACCTTTCTCCGGGACACGCTAGCCGCAGCATTTCATGGGTACCTGGACTGACCTGGACTGTTGCGCCACTGAGGCTGGAGATAATACAGACCAAGGGGCATGCCGCAGAACGGTTCCTTCACTGACTGGCCTTGCGGATGCGGAGGAGCCCATGCGCACCTTCGATTGCGATGTGGACGTCGTGGACGGGGAGCCAATGAAGGAGAATCCGGACGCGCTCGGAGGAGACCTGCGCGGGGCGCAATTTGTCACAGAATCTCTCATAGTCCGACGGGAGCCGCGAGGATTTCATAGCCGACTGGAGCAAAGTGCACATTTGGCCCTTGACGACGAGATCGCGCGTGCAGTCCCGTTGCCGACCACGTTGCGTGCGTTTGGGTATCTTTGGCGACTACGTCCGAACAAGATGAGCCAGGACGAGCTATTGAAGCTATGGCAGTATTCCAAGAAAGCAAACTCATTCGATGCTTTTGTGTCTCACACCTGGTGGACACCGGGATATCAGAAGTTTATTTCTTTGTTACTCCGCTCCTACTGGCACTATGCCGTAGTTGCTATGATTGCGACGAGTGTGGTGATCATGATCATGTACAGGCTGGACATCTTGCCCATGCCTTTGAGATTTGCATCACCGTTCAGACTGTTCCCCAAAACCGTTCCCTGTGGGCCGTGGGCGACACTGTTCGCATTCATAATCTCACTCTTTGCCCTGCTTTGTGCTCCTTTCCTGCCCTGCCAGAGCTTCGATATTTTCTTCGATGCTGCATGCATTCACCAAACGGATCCGGTGATGCGCGAACGAGGCATATATGGCATCGGCGGCTACCTGACCGTATCCAAAGAGCTACGCATTTTGTGGTCGGTGCCTTACTTGACTAGATTCGAGGCCGCTCTTGAAGCATATGTTTGCTTATAATCTTGTTATACTCTGAAGACAGGCGAATGCTACCAGTTGTTGAAAGCGCCTCCAATAAGAATGATAAGACGAATCATCATTCTCATCATCAGGATTGTGGTGCATATTCGAGCTCGCTGGATACCGAAGGGCCAATCCGAAAGGCAAGATCGTTTTCCAGCCTCTGAAGGTCGAACGTGACTTCTGCGTTCTTTGGGCCTGCGTTTACTTGTTCTCCTGCGTGTTCCATATCATGAACACCGGCTCCGCTTTGAGGGGCTTGTTCGTCATCTCCGCCCTCCTAGCTGTTTCTGCCCTGATTCCAAGCGTCCACGCAATTCGGAAAGGCTTCCAAGAGCAAGAGCACAGCCTTCAGGGCATGGCAAACTTTGACCTTGAGCTCGTTTCGTGTTCCAGTGATTTCGACAAGCAGTTTATTCTCGGGGCGGTGAGCCAGTGGTATGGCAGCGCCGATGCATTCACACAGTATGTTCGCGGGCCTTTGCGGGATGAGCTGGTACAAGTGGTCGCCGAGATGCAGGCTCCCGTGTCGTACTGCTTACTGTCATGCTCACCGCTGGCGGGAATTTATGCGGACGTTCTGGGGGCGCTGTGGCTCGGAGGAGCCCCCAGTCAAGTAATGTTGGCCTACCTGATGGGAGAGATGCTGTCGACCTTGTTGTTAGTCATGGCTCAATTCAAGATCTTGTTCATCCTCGCGAAGTACTATACTCAGCCCCGGTTTGGAAGTCGCACCATGGACTACGTGCAGACTTGTGGTGTGTCGCTTGTCTTCCTCATGCCCGTTGCTGTCTCGTGGCCCAAAAATCAAGCTTTCTATGCTTTTGGCGTTCCCGGTGCTGCGGCGGTCCTCGTCGTCTCAGTCGTGCTCTTCATTGCCATTTTCTTTCGCGACTTCAAGCGGTTATGGAGTTGTTTCAGGGCGTGGCCTTGAAGGCCATGGTCCTTAAACCGTAGAACCCCAGGTCCCAGGGTCCAAATCCCCAGACCCTTGTCTGAGAAAAGTCTAAGGACTTTGCCAGTGGTTTCACATAATAGTCTGGGAGAGAGTGTGTGTGCCTTGTGGATTGTGCTTCTTGCAAAAGCTGAAGCTGCACGAGCTCATCAGAGGGTGAAAGATTCGCACTGCTTCAGGACGGGTTGCCTGAGACACGAAAAGCATGTCAAGAGATTTGATGCTCTCGAAACTGCTATGTATAGAAACAAGCATAACATAACGGCATAACGTAGCACAACAAAAGCATAGGATGACATAACATAACATAACATAACATAGCATAGCATAACATAACATACATTCATAGATATGTACACTAAAAGAAAGAGAGATATGGATCTATGTGTGTCTGGGGCGGGGTTCTGGGCCCTTGTGTATCCAGTTTCTGGGGTGCTGGGGAACCTGTATTCCTTACAATCACTTGCCGAACGAACACGCTGCCAGCTACACTTTGTGCATACATTCCATGTTGTTTCTCGTAAGGGCCGTCTAGGTTCTACATATACATCGTTGCAGTCCGTGGCTCAAGCTGCTGGTGATGATGTCTATCCACACAGAACTAGGCCACTATGGAGTTCTGCTAGAACGGGAGGGAAATCAGGACGGGTAGGTGATGATACTGTGATTGTCCAGGGGATGAAGGCCCAGTCAGGCATCTCCACGTCAGATTCAGTGTCTCCAGTACACAGACATGACGAGCTACCCGGCGGTTTCTGCTGAGACTGAGCTGGCTCAACTGAAGGACTGCTCCTGGCTACGCCTAATAAACCTAGTACCACCCCTGAGCAACAGCATATACGGAAAGTAAAAATGGTCGACAGATCCTGGAGTCGTGTATTTCGACAAGCATCTTTGCTAGTTTGCAGCTTTCAACTGGACTGGGTTCAAGATGCTGAATGCTTCTGGGCTGCGAGGAACTGCTTGCAAGGCAAACATCAGCGAGAGAAGAGTTGCATCTGGCTGTTTCAAGTCAACGTCTCAGTCGACGTGGTATGTGCCATTTTCACAGTCTCGCGAGTTGGACATACAAGGCAAGGATGCGGCGAGACTGCAGACGGCTTTGCAAGCAGCACAAGGCTTGCTGCTGGATGTGGAGGCCTGGGTGGTGCCGTGCAAGTCGCCTCGCATGCATGACATGGGCACCAGGTGCAGTGGGGCCAGCAGGAGCTCACGAAAGCCTCTTCCAGAACAGAGTCGTGGCAGGCAGGTCATGGCCGGTCGTGATGCATGAAACCCGGGAGGGCCTCATTTGGGCCACAGGTGGCGAGGTTCACTCGCCCGGCCTATCCGAATTGAGAGATTCATGAGCCATGCATTTTTGCTGTGAATTCCAAAACCCTTCGGGTTGGCCAGGACGGGGAAGAGGCGATGGTGATCCCGTCCGCTGAGCAGCTTGAGCAGCTTTTAGCCGAGGCACGTGGGCTGGAAGCAGGGAACGTTTGGTACAGGTATGTACACACTATACTGCCTGCGTGATCATGCATGAGACATTTAGTTTTCGACGCGGCATAGCTCCTACACTCGGCGCTGCACAGGTCGGAGTAGTCTCAGCACACAATTTCACTATTCTGGAGCTCGAAGCACACCTCTCCAGTGGCTAGAGTGGGTGAATTTTATCTTCGGCGATGCAAGGTCAGCAAGGTTCCATAGAGCGAAAATATCCTCACTTCTTCAAGTTGCGAAAATGGACTTGCCCCGGACCTCTGCAGCCCAAGGCCCAAGGAAAGAACACCATACAAGCATGTCGGCATCTACTGCACGTACCAATCCGGGCGCTTCCTATGATAGCATCTTGATGTCCGCACAACCCAGCCCGAACTCTGACTCCGACTTGCCCCACTGCCAGAGATCGCGAACCGACCCTGTCTAGCCGAAGCCCAGTCCCAAGGACGAGGAGCGCCAGCGCCGGGAGGAAGCCGAGGCAGCAGCCGAGGAGCAACGGAAAGCCGCCGAAGCGGAAGTGGCTTGGAAGAAGGCACCAGGCTTTTAAATCCACAGTCACAGGTGGGACTCTACGGATTAGCGAAGGATCTATGCTCCAGGTTGGGTCTCACTATGAGCGGGGAGCATGTTCGCCCTTTTCTTGAACAGAGTGGGCTGCTCCAACCATCTGCCCCCACATTGCGCAGGGATCTTGGCGATCTTGCATCGGACAGTTTTGGGCATTGTGGTGTGTGCGGGAGGAAGAGTCGGGAGAGATTTGCACGGCAACTCGTTGGATCATGTCGGATCGAGAACTTCGGTGGGACTTCGAAGAGTTGCCCCTAGCTGCTGCTCAGTGTGCCATACTACTCGCCGTGTTCCATCTTAGCTCATGTTTATGATTGATCTTCTGGAGTCCATGAAAGGCCAAGTGTTCACACATCTTCACGTCCTATCTGGATTCTACGTGTGCAGATTTTGCCTTCCAGTCCTGTGAGGGTGTGCCGTAATGAATATGCGGAAAATAGGGGACCTTAAGATAGTACCCTTAATAATAGGATCCTTATTATAAGGACCCCAAACAGGTACCCCTTATTTTCGGAAACTTCCCATGTTGGTGTGTTGGCCTGCTGAGCGGCATGATCGACTCGAGTCCATGTGAGAAAGAGGGATAGACAGCTTGCATAGGCTCGTGGGACAAGGCAGGCTCCGAGCAACCTTGCTGTCACAACAGTCCCTTGGAACCTATGCGGTTAACGCAGGAAGGGCCGTTCCAGAATTAAAGTGTGATTTGCAGGGGAACTTCGAGGTAGGTTTCTTCTGGGCAGCTTGGAGGTGCAAGATGCGATCAACGCCGACGACGAGGGCGCATTGCTAAAGGCGCTTAGTGACGTGGAAGGCAGCCCGGCTACAGCAGATGTGCCAACGCCAGAACGGCAAAGGATGCACCTCAGGCAAGCTGCCTCCGGACCGGGTTGCCGCAGCGAGGCGAAGGTGCGGCCCTTTCGTGCGGCTCACTGTTGCTCTCTCCTTGGACTTTGGACCAGTGGTTCGAAGAATACACGCTCCCAGGATTCCTGCCATGCGAGCCCGGGCGGAGATGCGGAAAGAGCTGTCTTCGGCCATCCGGAAATCAGAGCCTTGGCTCGCAGGCTCGAGTCTCTGGACGGGCCAAGTTGACAGCGGGAATCGGAACCTACAGGGTCTACAGCCTAGAAGCCACGAGCAAAAGTTAACAGTTAAAAGAATGCCGTTCTTCTGTTCCGAGGAGCTCGAGGAGGAGACCGTTACACTCAAGCACGTGATTGCCACCGCCAAGCGCTCCTGCTTGCCACAGGCGGTCGTTGAGTCGAGGATACTTTGTCTTCGGTCCTTTGCGGGCATGGTCGCTGTCATGGAATCTGTAAGTGGGGGTTTCCGAAAATAGGGGACCCCAATGTAGTACCCTAAATAGTAGGATCCTTATTATAAGGACCCCAAAATAAGGTACCCTATATTTTCGGAAACTCCCAAGTGGTTCCGACCAACCGCCAAAACCTCTCACCAGGCTGAAGTGCTGGAGGCAGAAGCCGTCCTCAAGCGAATGGAGGCCGAGCAGCGAAAGGCCAAGGCGGAGAAGGCCAGCGTTGAGCGGTCTAGGATTCTAGGACATTCTAGGACTCCAGAGCTCGGGGAACTCGTCTTGATGCTTCAGCATTACACAGCTGCTATCATCCCATGCGCTTTCTCTCGGAGGGCTGCTCACGCTTGTGCGGGTGGGTAGTGCACCATGCGGGACTCAGGCTGGGGGTGTTTAGTGGCCATATCAGCAGGGGGCACGAAATCGGAACACGCGTGCGCACCCCTGCGTATTTCCGCGGTAGGGTTGCTACAATCCAAGCCCCCTTAAAAAATGGGAGTGCAAGAAGACGCAAGAAGCCTCAAGAACTGCCCCGGGATGAGTTGTGCTTGCCCATGTCAAAGGCGGCGGCCGCCGCCGGGCCGCGGAGCCGGGCTGAGGCCTCAGAGGGGCCCATGGGCCCAGCACAGTGCCTCTCTCGTGGTAGCGAGAGAGCGGAGAAGGGCAGAAGAAGAAGAGAAGGATATCGAGCATGGGCCCCTTTTTATTTTAGTTACTGTGAAAGGAAATCCCTTACACCGTCATGCGTGCTGGCATTCATCAAGTCCCTTGCTTCAAAAAAATAGGAGTCCACCGAAAGTCCAAAAGTTGAATCGAGATGCGAGGGCGGAATAACTGAACAGTGGAGCGCGGTCGTCGAGACCTGCGACCCACACCTTTGCTCCTTGCTTTGCCTCTCGTTCTCCTTGCCTGTTTAGTAAGTCACCCACAGCCGAGGAGCCACCGCCGACTGGCGCAGAAGCGGCCCAGGAAGCGATCTCAGCAGTTGCATCCGTGGGATGCGAATGAGCCTCGAAAGCCATGAGCTGACGAGGCTCCGCCGTCGAGCAATGAGGTCAAGGCCTGCAAGTCAAGCAGGTTTTTGTGCCATATCGGAGATATTTGAAGTTGGAGCTCCGATCCGAAACAGTCAACAGGCACCTGCGACCAAGTTGGAACTAGCTGTTCTCAGCAAGGCCGGCCGCAGTTTACCATGCTCACTGAGACTGTGCAAAAACTCTCTCCATCGTGCTATCGGCTCGTACCACACCGCACAAATGCGAAAATTGGATAGGTCCTTCGATCGTGCCTGCAACAGAAGGCAAGCATCACATGCACTGGAGACGAAGTCAGGCATCCCGAACGCTGAGGAAATCTTGGCATCGCTGCCAAGGAAGGTGATTGCACGCCCGATCGGCGAGAATATTCCCACAACGAAGAATCTGGGAGCTGCACCTCATCTCACGGATTGTGACTCAAGCCTGGGCACTGCGAATCGTCTATGAGAGTGGTCATTCGATCACGGCCGGGATGTACGGGACAATTGAAGTTGCTGTCAAGTGTTGCCGTGGTCGCATGCGCAAACAAGACGGCACCCCGTGTCTCGACATCGTTCCAACCCTGCCGCGAACGCAGCGACGTTTGCGAGCGCACTTGAGCTTACCTTCGCCACACCATCTAGCCATGTGAGTCTTGGGGAATGGTCTTTGCATTGATTGTGTGCATGATGGGAGGACAAAGAGCAAATACAAGAAGCACTCGCGGAGCCTTCGGCCCAGTGTGTGTCAAGCTCTCTCTTGTACAGAGATGTCAACGTGTGCCAAGGTTGAAAGCCTCGGGAATGTCAAACCAAGAGCGGAACTATTTGTACGCGTGTGCACGTGCGAACTTCGGGGGGCGTTGAGTCCATCTGGCTCCACCTGCTCTGAAGCTCAGTCGGCGCAAGCACTTAGGTCAGTAGGACTAGGACTAGGGTAGGACGGAAGTTGCCGGTGGTAAGTGCTGTGCAAAAGGAGAGTCAGCAGCACAGATGTCGTGGCCAAGCCATTGCAGACCGACTGCATGGTATTTGTTGCAGTTCAGCGCCTGAACATGCGAGTGCGTATCCTGTTATCCTGCCAGTACGACCGGCTCAAACTCACCCGCCGCTTCCAAAACGATCAGAAATCCGTTCAAGATGGCTGCCGAGGGTGAGACTTCAGGCATGGTTGACATGAAGGCCCAGGGTAGAGGCAAGTCATTGGCTGTTTGGGGGGCGCGAAGTTCATGACGTAACAGGTGACTGCCAAGAAGAGCATCAACTTCTACATGAACTCAGCGAAAGCATTCTTCACGGGAGTTGTTGACACTGAAGGCAAAAAGCGCGAACCCGCCAGTGCCTAAGATCAGCATGTTTGAACCTTGTGACAAACAATCCAGCCACCTGCTGCCATTCGTCCGAAGGTCTGTGTTCTCAACATCTCGGGTTTGGGTGATGCCATCAATGTCGCCGCTACTTCCCTGCACTTTAGATATGCTGAGGGCCGCGCGGGCTGCGAAGGGCGCGTGTGCGGCGAAGCCAGGCTCAGGCTGCTGGGGCCGTCGTGAAGGAGGGCCTTGCCGTGTGCTGAGCGCTTCAGAGCGTAACATCCATGGCTCCATGACCACGACCCCTCCGTCGCAAAGCAAGGCCACCATCCAAAAGATCGAAACTTCCTACCCTGCTCCGTCCCCAGTGCACGGCAAGAAGGGAGCAAGAAAAAAGAAAAGTTGCCTTGTCAAGAGAAGCGCAGTTTCTTTATAGAGCCGAGGAGATGAAGCTGACCAACGGCTCGGAGCGGGGCTGTGCGGAAGCCTCAGAAGCTGGAGGGTGGTCGCTCATGACTCAAGACCCTTAGTTACCCTGGCTTTCTGAGTTTATTTGAGTGATGACACATGACCCAGATGAGGTTATACATCCAAAGTCGAAACAGTCATAACATTGCTTGCATCAGGAATGATCTTGTTGAGCATGGCCCGTTTAATCAAGCCTTCTCTGCTCAGATTGGTCGTTTTTGACAGTATTGATATCGTTGCTGGCTTGTTAGGTGCAGTGATAGTATTGACCTGGAGCAGCCATGACTGGAGTCTCAACACACTCCGGGCGTTTGGGATTGGGGTTTAGAAGCAGGCTTCGCAGCTTGCGCAGACTGATGGCCAGGGTTTGAGACAGTAGCTGTAGCTCCTGGCATTCGATGTCATTCATGATAAGACGCTCTAACTGTTGATCAAGTTCCTTAAGCCGTCCCTGTGAGCATGTTCAGACACCCGACGATGTGGGCACAATGTGTGGGGCGAGCAGCCTTGAGACCTCAGGCGAGGATCATGATCACCTTGCACAAGAAGGTCTGAACAGACGCTGGAATGCAGCTTACATGCGGAAGTCAACACCAGTGAGACCTTGGATTTGACCTTGTAGTCGGGGAGTGCAGAAACACAGTAGCAGAAGTGGACAAAGTCTTTTGCCAGACGCATTGAGCTGCACTTGGTCTGCCGAGTTTAAACACAAGTTCCGCTGTGCTGGGGACGACATAGGCGACATACCAAGACCGCATCGTTGGTTCACATGAAAATCCACGAGCCTCAGCACATCTGTCCTGGGATCGCGTGTCTCAGTCCAGCACGGCATGTGTCGATCCGGAGTCGGATGTATCAATAGGCAATGCTTGTGGTCGGCGGCACACGGCAAGTGCCATGAGAGCCGCCTCCTGGCCGCTCACTGGAGCATGTCATCACTCATTCCGACATGATACGGTGCACTGTTGGGTAAGAGTGGAAACGGTCTTGTTAGAGGTGTGCGGCTCATGCATTCAACGAGACAGTCGGCTCGTCGACAACTCGCAAGATGTGGACCGGCCAATCTCAGGAAACGGTAGAATGCTGCAGAGCCAAGCTTTGTAATGAGGAGGGTGGTCGTGTCGACATTCCGGATCTTGTTCTGTGGAGAAATGCGTGAACATTTCCTGGGCTCAAGGCAGCAACATAAACCGCTGGACCCAAAGCACTTTCTCAAGATTGTGATTATCCATGTCAGCCTTAACTTTCTAATGCTCCTGTAAAAAGCCATTGCCCTCGGACTTCATGATGAGCGAGGTTTCTCTAGCCCGCGCCTGAGCCCATGCAACATCAGAATTATCTGGCGGGTTGGGGCTTCTGGCCCGTGCTGCCACGTCTTGCAGCAAAGACGGTGTTGGCAGGATTGGCCCCTGAGCAAGGAGGAGCAGAAAAAGCGGATCATGCGACTCTATGACAAGGCGTGTGAGGGCCCAAACAGTGCGGTGCTTGGGCCTTCGCCAGTTCCCAGGATGTCCAAGCTGCCAATGAGCTGCTCCATTCCGGGGAGGCGGCCTTGAAGGTGGCCTTGAAGGCACGCTGAACTAGGAGCTCAGGACAGGATAGTTGGGAGTTTCCGAAAATAGGGGTACCTTATTCTGGGGGTCCTTATAATAAGGGTCCTACTATTTAGGGTACTATATTAGGGTCCCCTATTTTCGGAAGCTCCCAGTTGGCAACGGCCCTTGGGAGGCCTTGCACCAGAAGCTGAAGGATAGCCAAGGGGAGGGCAGCACGGCTTCCCAGGCGCTATACTGAGACCACTTAGTGAGTTGGGCGAAGGCGGCATTGAGCCAGGACACGCCTTGTCCAGAGCAGAGAGACCCTGGAGGTGATGAATCCTGCAGCGTCCTGCAGCACCTTTTCTCTTCTGGAAGCCTGGGAGGTCGGATGGCCACAGGCCGTGAGGCTGTGACATCGATCCGGTCAGAACCGGAAGAACCCAGGACGCCCAGGGCCCATTGCCCCCAGTGGCCTAGACAGCCTTTGCAAACTTTGCATGCAGGGAATATGCATCTGAGGCCGACCTCGCCTGCCTTCACCGAGCAAACAGAGCAAACAGAAGAGGCAGTATGACTGAATCAGAAGTGCCAGCAGGCTACAGCTCTTGCGTCCACCCAGCGCATGCATGAGTCCTGCTGGTGCTTCGGCAGCAAGGCCGCGGAGGAAACTGCGGAGGACGGGGAAAATGCGGCGGAAGCTGCAGCGTGCTGCCGGCCTTTTTTGCACTGGGGTGTCCTGCCATGGCTAAGTCCTAAAATTCCAAATAGTTCTACCAGTAAGCCCTGGGTCCACCTTTCGGGAGTCGCTGAGCCTCGGAGCCAAAGGCGTTTGCAGAATGCCATCGTGGACGCCGCTGCTGCGCCCCAGACTTGGACGTGCCTTGCGACACGGCGACACGTTTACCTTGCAAATGTTTTTGGCAAGGCTGGCTTCCCTGTCGGGGCCTCATGTCAGCAATCACAGCCACAAATACTGCCTCATGAAGACAATGCAGGTTTGGGACTTCATCCTTGTCTTCCGTGTTGGCGGAGGGCTCAAGCCACGGCGGTCTCCGGTGTGGCTCGCATGCGGCGGCTGCAGGTGGGCATTGCTGCCGACGCAGACAAGGATCGGCATGTCGTAAACCAATATCTGCACGCAATGGGAACGTGGGATGCAATCGACACCTCCGCGAGGACAGCCCAGAGGAGTGCAGTGAGGCGAGGGAGCTCGGTCCGCATTCAGCCTCGACGCGTGCGATGCTCCGCCAGGTCAGGCAACGCGCAAAGTCCGAAGGCACCTTTCTAAGTGAAGCTGTTGCCTGAGTCACGGTGCGGCATGTAGCATCCCTTTGACGCTTCGGCGCGGTGACTTCGGCCCATGTTGCTGCCGGAACCTGTGCCAAGCTACATGAGCTGGCATGCAGGTGCCCGAGTCATTGCTCCGGCCATCCAGAAGCCCGAGGACGGCGTGCAGTGCATCAGTTGCTTTCTTTGGTTTTCTGCGGTGGAGAACGGCGAAGGGATCCTGGATACCAGGATCGTCGTCGCAGAAAGTCGCGGGGGGGAGAACCATTGAAAGTGTGAGTGCCTCGGGTTTCAGAAACTTCAAAGCCGCACGTCGGTTGCACCTCACGTGAAGTATATAGGCTTCGTTGAAATACTGGACTAGTGACCTTCTATTGCTGACCAGGTCCTTCGCAGATGAGGAGGACTCAGTTTTTCCACCGCATCCGGGCATGAAGTAATTACTATTCTGATCCAGGATGCTGCCCGAAAAGTGTTCAGAAATCGTTTACATTGCCTGCACTGCTGCACGAAATGCACTGTAGTTGGACCAGTCGCCGCGAGTGACACCGGGCAGAAAGACGGGCACATGAGTGGAATGTCCATAAACGCAGCAAGATCACAAGAAAGATTGAGTGGTAAGTTTCGAGAGGAGATGGAGGAGCATTGGCCAGGGAGGTCTAGCAGCAGAAGACGGCCCTCCATCGGAGAGCCTGAGCCTTCTCCACCGAGCTCCCCAAAGGCAAAGCAGGCAGTAATGGGCTTCTTTCCGTTGGGAAATGGGAGTTTCCGAAAACAAGGGGTGCCTTATTTTGGGGTCCTTATAATGAGGATCCTACTATTTAGGGTACTATATTAGGGTCCCCTATTGGTGGAAGCTTGGAGCCTTTCTGCAGCAGGCGCCAAAAGCTCCTCCGGCTGGCCCTGCTGCTTTGTCACAGGCTTTGCAGGGTCAGCAGCCCAGAACTGTGTGGGAGTTTCCGAAAATTAGGGTACCCTATTTTGGGTCCTTATAATAGGGATCCTATTATTTAGGGTACTATATTAGGGTCCCCTATTTTTGGAAACCCCCGTGTAGCCCCGGACCGTCAGACTTCTTTTGGGCGAACCCCCAGCAACCACACTTGGTGCGCATGATGCGGAGCCTCGTCGGTACTTCTCAGGCCAATCGAGAGCCTGCGTACCGCGGCGTCAGCGACGAGGCACCGATAGTACCGCTCAACTCAGGGTCTGAAAGTGGAAGCCTTGATGGTTTAGGGCCTTTAGGGCGTACGAAGGCGACACGTTGTTTTAACGAAGCTCTGCGCCCATGCGCCCAGGCTTGCCACGCAGCTTGCAGGTTTTGAGGGTCGTTATATGTCGTTATGTTGATGCAGCACATCTCATACTCCGAAACTGGGAAGTTTTGCCATGTTCAGGCTGCTCGGCAACGGGACTTCCAACGCATGTTCAGATTCCCGGGATGTCAAATTTGTGATGTGTAGCAGGTTACTTTGCGCAGATCGCAAGCCTGGTCTTGCGGATGCTTCCCCAGTCTTGTACAGTCTCGAAACATGTTCAGATTCCAAGCTCCTTGAGAGGACTGTCGAGCAGTGAGAGTCCAAGCAATAGGATCCCTGTTTTAAAGTCTTGTTCCTGCCGTAGAATCTGTAAGAGCACTGCAGCACACCTGCCGCCCTCGCAGAGCAGGCCGGGCCCCGCCCACGCCGTCTTCTGCACCGGCCGGGATGTTGGACTTCATATGAGTCGTTCGGAGTGATCTGGTTAGCAAGAACTACATCCAGGGTCCACAGCTTATGCTTCGGGCTCCGAACGGCGCAGATTCAGAAGACTTGCTTGCTAATGCTCCCCCACGACAAAAATGGGCGTGCCTGGCATCATCGTGTCAAGGTACTATAGAGTCCTCAGCATGTCGTGCGTCTAGTTCGGGCTGGTGGTGCCTCGTCGAATTGCAGCGCCCAGTCACTGCCCAAGAAAGAAGGCTACAAAGCTAGCCGATCACGCAGCCATGGGTGAACAACGTCCGGTGCGCAAGCTCTTCCTTGGCGCTTTGGCTTTGGCTCACCCCTGAGACGGTTCGGACTGCGGAAGGGTTTCTCCTCTCCTCAAACTCGCCTGCAGACGGAGGCTGCTTGTTTTGCTTGCTTGTCAGCACATCTGCGAGCTGTGCTCTCAGCTCTTCACCTCGGATCGAGAGCATCCACTCAGCTAGCAAGCCTGTCTTGCAGAAGCTCAGGTGGCCTTCATCCCGAGCAGTTCGGCAAGTGTCAGAAGACGGCTGCTGCTCACACAGGTGCATAGGTCGCAAAAGAAACGGCTACCGAGGACTCGGCTTGATTGAAGTTGGGACGCGGGTGAGGGTGAACAGTACTCCCGATATCCTTTCGATGACGACAGCTGCTGCTACTGCGACCACGACCGGTACCGCTGCTGCTACTGCTGGGCGCGCAGTCTGAAGGGTGCAAAATTTGCATCCATGGTACACGTGCCGCTCGTGTCTGACCTGCACTTGCGGTGGTTTCACAAAAACCACCGATAAAGCACAAATTCCCAAAGATTTGGAAGCGTTTTCACAAAACTCCACTCCCAGGAAATAATGCGCTGCATGCCAAAGTAACTGATTGAAACCATTCCAAAATCACTCCCGTTCCTAGCCGTTTTTGGTAGGAATAGCTGAGTGATTTTGGCGTGATTTGGAGTGACTTCAGCAGAATCAGCTATGTTTTCAAGAAAACGCCGAACAGAGTGATGTTGGAGTGATTCGGCACAGTTGTTTGGCATCTGCGAAACCACGTCACGAGCGATTTCCTAGTGATTCTGGAGTGTTTCGTCACAGTAATTTATTTGTGGCCTCTGCAAGACGATTTCACAGTGATTTTGGAATGATATTGGAGAACCGTGTGGTTGACTGTTCGCACCACGTTGGGGGAAACTTACCAAAACGACTCTTACCGTTTTTCATATGCTACATTCCAGTGAGAACGCCATCTGTTTTTGATCATGAGTCTTCATGAAGCCACGTGAGGAGAGCTGTTCTTTCAACGGCTAGGCCATGCTTTCCTAACCACTTGCAGGTGGTGCTTGAAGCGCACATGTAGCTAACCCAATCAGACGGCTGTACAAAAGATATCTAATTAGCCAAAGACGCAAGCCTTCTAAACGAAAACGCTCCAAAATCACCAACTCGAAAACCGGGGCATCTACAGGGTCTGCTAGGAAAAGGAAGTCACAAGGCTATGCTACACCGTAGTTAAGATATGCGAGTAAAGCTACAATGGAAACCGTGAACCCTAAACAATACCTGAGTCCAACCACATGCCTCGCCTGGAGTGTCCGAGTGTACGTGCCGAAGCAATACTTGAGTGAGAGCGTAAACAATACCTGAACCCGAACAGGAGGTCAAAGTGAGGCCTTGGAAAAGGAGATGTTGGCTGGCAATGCGTTCCCACGAAGATGCCCTAAAGTCGTCCGGAAGATGGAAACCTTGAGGCGAGGAAGGAAGAGCAAAACCTACAGGCCTCCCCACGATGAAGCCCTCCTGAAGTCGTCCCCAAGCAGAAACCCAAAAGTCGCCCCGAAGATGAAGGAGTCTTGCCTGCCTTGCGCGAGCGTAGAAGCCGAAAATGAAGTCAGGGCAAGCCCTGACATCGTCGGGAAAATGAACTAAAGTCCTCCGGAAGACGAAACCCGAAAGAAGGGGAGGCCAAACAAACCCTGAAGTTGTCCCGATGAAACCTGAAGGCCCTTAGAGCGAATCTTGACGGTGGGTGGGAAGTCCTAGCCCCTGAGGAGCCGTTGGGTGGGAAGCCGCTGCCAAGCCCGTAAGCCTGAAAGGAGTTGTTGGGTAGGAAGCCCGCCTTGCTCTTGCTGGCAAACCCGGAAACCTTAACGACAGGTGTCGGGTCGGAAGATTTGTTGTGTAGGAAGCCCTGCGTTTTCGTCCCGTCTGCGAACACGTTGGCTTTGTTCACAAAATCCCAGCCCAGACCCTCTGTTTTCGAGCCGCGACGTGCGCATACGTAGGCTTGCGTAGGTTGTAGCGTGCCATGGGGACCTTGTGTGCGCCTTAAACTCCCCTTCCCCACTGCTTTGCTACTGCTGCGGCTGCTGCTACTACTCCTGCTACCACTGCTGCTGCAAATTCTTCTTCCACCATTACTACACTGCTGCGACTGCGACTGTGACTACGACGACGACTAACACGACGACTACTACTACTACTACTACTACTACTACTACACCACTACGATCACTGACCAAAGAGCTCTGCGACGACCAGGCCACACTGGGCTCTGCTTTGCTGCCGGCCAGCGCGCATTCAGAGGACCATGAGCCATCGCCTCGTCCCTTCTGCGATTTGGCCACCTTCCGCCTAACATTGGTTTAGTTCCTGCAAGAAATGGTTTGTCCAGGTTGACTTCTCGTGTGTAGGATGCGGTCAGCTTTACTCGCGCAAATTCGCCAGGAACAACCGAAAGAGCAGGTCAACAGACTGGCAGTGGTCGAGACTTATCCACCGCTGCTTGGCTTGCAAGCCGTCAATGTAACATGCCCGCATGCTGACTTCATGCCGAGAGTGTTGCATTTCTGCTTTCCGCCGTGCCTGAGATCCTAGCGGCAGGATGACAACATCGTGCACTTTATTTATATAGAGAGGATGCGTTCTAGTGGGTCTTGGGTCATCACTGAATCACAGCCAGTGGGCAAGGTTTGGCTCGCTGGTGCCATTGACAGGCGTGTTTTCGCTGGCACAGACTGCAGCACGGATTACTGAAGCTTCCCCAGCTTCCGGGGCGGGCCTTCTTTCACAAAGGAAGCACAAGAATGCCTAAGTCCTTGCAAGGCACCTGGGGAGCTCCCGGGAATGTCAGTACGTTTCGGCAAGCTTACCAATGATGACTTGGATGCATACCGCTTTGTGTGCACACAGCGCCTGTGATCAATTTGGACTTGGATTTTCATTCACGTGGTGGCAGGGGTGGGCGGTCGCTTGATGTCGTCACTTGCTGACAAGGTACATTGGCCTTATAAGATATGCTGACCCGGATGAGAAGGCTCAGAGGAAGTTGTCACGTGCTTGCTGCTATACCAAAAAACATGCAAAGATGGAGCCAGGTTGTTGGATATGACAAAGCTGGGCGGTTCAAAGCCTGCGACGATGCTATTGCGGCGGTGGGGCGTGCGCGTGATGTGCTCAAGAAGACAGATGCGAAGGCCAGAGGCCAAGGCTTCATCTTGACAGGTTCAAGTCCAAGAGTAGCATCGTTTACAAGACTCCGGCAGGACGAGGCGCAGAAGGCGGACGTGACAGCCTTCCAGAAGGAGGCCCAAACGAAGTAGACATACCATAGCTATAGGGTTTAGCACCCTAGCACTCGTTTAGACTCTGAATCTTGTATGTGTCTCATGTAAAAAAGCCGATGAGGAGACCGTATTCGAAAGCATCCTGCCCAAAGGTGTCTGCGATTGGTGTGAACTTGGCTGGCTTCTTTGCATTGATTCCACAGGCCCATGTCGCTTCAAGCGCAAGTTGTCGCTGAAGCTATGTCCGCTATGTGGAGGATAACATAGTGCAGAAGTTGCCGCTCCAGTCAATGCAAGTGCCTATGGCCTATGCATCCTCCTTGTGCGAAGGGCGACTTCGTGAAAGCCCTGTCGCTGTCGCAGAAGCTTCGAAACATGGATACTGCACCGTGGCTTGTTAGATCGCGAGAAGACGGGAGAGAGAAAAGCCAACTGTCCAAGGACAAGGACAACCAGCTGTCCGAGGAGGAGGTTACGACTGTCCGATCTGGCATGAAGCCCTTGGCACAAGATGTCGCATGCTCAGCGGTGCATGTTGCATTGGCATGCAAACAAATCGCACCAGTTGACATGTGCCTGCAGCTGGTATTTACGAGCAGCATGAGTTGAGGATACAGATGTCGTCGCAGCTCTGAGGAAACTAGGAGCTGGGAGACTCTTGATTCCATAGTCATGGATCTCTATTTTTCTGAAATAGAAAATCCAGGGCCTGATAAAATCCAGGGCCTGATATGAGATTTTATTCGAAATATTAAATGGTTCTTATCGATTTGATATAAAGAAATATTTATTTAGATCTTGATCGATGAAATATTTTTATGATCCTGATTAGATTTTGTACAATTCTAAGTGGCCATTAAGAAGATAGATAAGGTAGATATTCTTATTTCTCAAATTCTTATGGAATTTAGATGAGAATTGAATGAGATATATCTATAATGAATAAACTTTGAAAGAAACTGTTGAATTTAATTTGGATGATTAATATATAATATTATATATATATAGGAGTAGGTAGATAAATTCGAGATAATGATTTGAAGGTTCTGATGATTCTTTATAAAAATGATATAGAAATATTCGGTATTTCATGATTTATTTCTTTTATAGAAATAGATATTGTATTATAGGGCCTGGCGGCATGGGCCGGCATGGTCGTCACCGTTCCGATTGTCGCCCCGAAGATGCAGTTAATACGTTGGCAAGCCTTGTTGTGCTTCCCCTTGCCTGTTAGCGCGCGCCGTATGCGAGCATTAGTAGCATCATGGAACTAGGTACGGTAGCAATATCGATACGATTGGTGCTTGATTTTTGCTACGTGGGGGGGGTCTTTCGTATTGTCCCGCCTACTGCCCACCCATAGACCCCCCAACGGCCCACAAACCCCAGCTGATGCTGATGATGCTCGCCCGCCCGGCCCCCATGTCCCCACCCGAAGGCATTGAAAATAGCGTTTTGAACGACAAATATCGTCGAATCAAGGCATGCTGGGAATACGCGAAATCTTCGATATTTACAGCGTTTTCGCCTCTTTTCAAAGCGCTAAAAAAGGCGCAAGTAGCCGAGATAGCCACGCGAAACACGGTCGTCCCAGCGCTCAGTCCCGAAGCT